TATTTAATGAACATCAAACCAGGTGGCGACACCACCCCGTAACCTCAATAAAATAACAACTTAGCAACATGAACCCCCACCGAAATTGTTCTCAGACCCTAAATCTGTCCTTAGTTTTGTCAAATAAACCACCATAAGGTCAAATTGAATGATCCAAATACAAACCTTAAATCTTAAAAATCAAAATTAAACAGCACCCATATATGGGTTTGAGCAATTGAATGAAGGTTATGCATCACGGGAACATGGTAAACAAACTTGTATTAAAATAATTGCAAAAATAAGAAGAAACTTAAACAGTCGGTTACTATTACTAACAAGTTTTATTATTTGAAATTATTAGAGTTTAAAGACAAGTCACCAAAATACTATTATTTGATGTAATGATGTATAATTGTAGATTATTCTGTACCATTTTAGTTTTGATGTAATATATAATTTTTGGTTCTTAATGCAATTTTGGCTTTAATGTAATATAATTTTTGATCTGATATGATTTAGAAATGAATTTGTTATTGTTTCTGGTCTATTACGATTCTGAAAAATTCAGGTTAAATAAATTGGAAATTCTGTAAAATTAAAAAAAATATATTAAAAAACTAATAATTTCACAACGATTGTTTAATACAACAGTTGTTATAGGTAAAACACTATCCAAAATAATAAAGCCAAAAAAGGAGTTGATGGATATCAAGCGCATGACCTATAAATATTTCACTATGGTTGTTCAATACAACCGTGGTTATCGGTAGCACGCTTCCCAATTTACTGCAACGAACAATAGATCATAGTTGTAAATAACACATACAATCACACGTTACTTGACAACAGACATATAATCATCATTATGTGTCTTTCACAACCGTTATCATATGTGTTTTTCGTAGTAGTGAATCTATTGACTTACTTTTGAAAAAGATGTATTTGCCCTATTTGTTGAAAAAGATATATTTGACCTATTTACCAAAAAAGAATATGTATGGTTAAATAACGACATACATACGTGTATCTATCAATCTACCAATATATTGATTTACTCTTGAACCATGAGTCAACCCGTCAATCTAATTAGTTACTCTTGAACTGGCTAACTTAGTCTTACAATAAACATATGTTTAGTCTTGAAACAATGACATATAAGTATACACTACTATAAATAAAAAAATTTATGATGAAACTTTTACCTTGAAGATGCTAAAAACTGAGAATATAGGTCCTGAGAGCACCATGATTAATTTTTTATAGAAAATAAATAACCTTTTCCCTCTGTTTTATAAAAAATCGAGGTAACATAGTTATAAGTGAGCGCTATTTTTTATCCATAAAAAAACCTATTCTCTTAGTTTTTTGGAAAACCGAGGGAATATAGCTATAAGAGATCTCGCTTCGAATCCATGTTACTGCATTAAAAAAATTTCAATGATTTCTCACTTGACGTCTTTCTAGATTCCATAATTTTCTTTGTTAATTAGTAATTCTCAAAATATTTGTTATCAATAAATTAGAATATACAATAATAGAAAAAGAAATATTTTATTGATAATACAAAAAAAACAGGACAACAAAGATAATTATTCTAAATATTCAAACTTCTGAATCCATTCAACTTCAATATTATCCCTATCTCTAGCTGTGAGAAAAATTTAGAAAAAAAATCTTTCATATGGTATGAGGAATGTCATTTTCTCCCGAGAGATGCTTATCATTTTCTTTAAGAAGTTAAAAATGGTAAGAGAAAGATTAACTCTGACGTTGTAGGTAAGGAAGTACAAGAAATACTTGTCATCCTAAGTAAACGTTTCCAGTTGTTTTTCTCTTGGACGGAGATTTGACACTAGAAGTTGATACAAAACTTTTGCAATTTGAAGTAGAGTAGCAGGACCGTTGAGCTGATTGTAATTGGCATAAATTCGGTGAAGGTGAGATGGGTAAGCATTATTGAATATATAATGTTAAACACAACTACATGTCTCTTCATATTTTATTGTCTTAGCAATAAGTGATTGAGTAATTAAGATATGAGAACCATTGACATATGACTGAATTGATTTATCGTGATTACATGGCACAACAGAGGCATTTAACTAGAACTCTTTAACGAGATTAGTGTAGATGGGACCATGAAGAATGTGAAAGTAACCATTCAATTTTTATTTAGAAATAGCTTTTTTTAGATCAAATCCTTTGTCTTTCAACTCATCGAAATCAACAAACTTTTCATTGATAACAAACAAAATATTTGCATCCATTTTTGAATAAAAGAAAAGACTTTGATACAAGATTTGAAGACACAAAGAGTTGGAAATGAGACATTGAAAATAACAAAAGAGTTTGAAACATGGTTACATTTGTTGGGGGAGTTCACTAGAGAGCATTGATCGATAATGTAGAAGTAGACACCTTTATGAGAGACACATCACTTATCTATCCTTTTTCTCATTATAAAAATTATTTAATATTAAATTATAAAAAATATAAATAATAATAAATAGGAGTGATAGTAGGAAGTTAAAGTTCATTAAATTTATTCCCATGAGAATATTATATTCCCACCTTTTATGCCTTAGAATAAAAAAAAAAATTCATGAATAAATAATATTCCTTGAAATAATTTTTTAAAACTTGAATCAAACATGAGAATATTACATTTTCATAGTCACATTCTCACGAATAATTTATATAATCTTGAAACAAACACTCTAAGAATAAGATTAACTATTTAAGTAGAAACATAAATAATCATTTAATTATCAAATTTATAAAAAAAAATTAGTAATGCTATTTGTCTTTTAAATTTTTTTTTAAATTATATTATATGTTTCATATTATTTAATAAATACTTTAGTTGAAAAATATGTTTATTTTACCGGCAAATACCCTTTTAATAGCACATATAATTGAAAAATCTATTTATTTTACAACGAATTATATTATAATAAATAAATTTTTTATTTATTAAATAATTAATATATCTTATATACAGTAATAATCAAATATATTATTTATTTAATAAATCTATAAAAAAAAAATTTATGACTTAAAATAATAACCGAAAAATGTAATTTTAATTATCGACTCCATGATAATTTATGTACAACATAATCCTTACCTTCAATTAATCTTGACTAATATTACAATTAAAAAGGTAATTAATTTTTTAATAAAAAAATATGTTTAATAATACATGTATATACAAAAGTAGCATGTTAGAGCAAAAAAGGAAAAAGAAAACACAATTAAAGGCGCTAATCTGAGTGGACTGTAATAAAAGTGGTGAGTCAGGTTAAAGAGTTGGGTTGGGGAACGATTATTTTAACAAAAAAGGATTAGTGCAAAGCTGTATATGGTAAGACAATACTCGTTTTGTCCAATTACAAAAAATATCTTTAAAAAATAGCTACTTTTCATTTTCAACATAACTTTAACTGCATTTTTTTCAATCATAACTTTTAACTAATACTTTTTCTATTTTAAAGAAATATCACTTTAATTAAAATAAAATATTTTAAATAAAAATCATTCTTAGTTTCAAATTATGCTATCAAAATATTATGATGTAAACTATTTTAAAAATATTATATGAATTTTCATAATAATAATGATATAATAAAATATATTAATATGAGTTAGTTAAATTAAATAAGTGTAAACTGAATCATTTAATTTCTAGAGGCAACATATTTACGTTTACGTATTAATGTAAATAATTTTTGGATATTAATAAATTACTATTTTTTAAATAAAATAAAATAAAATTTTAAAATAAAATAAAATGAAAATTTAAAATTGTTTTATATTTTTATAATTTATTATATTTATAAATTTATGTACAAAATATTTTAACATTATTTTTCGGTTCATGTTTATTGTAATATGAATATAACAATAATTAATAAAATTATGGATAAAATTTATATACAATTTTTTAAGTGTGATTCTTACTATTTTTCAATAAAAACATGACAAATATACATAAATATTTTTTAAGGAGTAAAAATAAGAGAAAATCACATAAGATAAATGTAAAAGAAACACTTGTCATATTTTTATTGGAAAATAATAACAACTACATCTAAAAAAAAATTATCTAACTTTTTTCCTAAGATTATTATTACTCTTTAATTTCATTTATTAAAATTTATTGTTATTTTTAATAATTAAATATTATTATTATTATTACGGATGGAGGAAGTATGATTTGTTTTTTTACCTACTAATAAAAAGCATACAATTAAGGAAAAAAAAAAAAAAAAAAGTAGAGAGATAATGGAGGAAAAAGAAGGCACATAAATTGTTGTTAATAGTAGTTGATTTCCTTTTATTTATCTTTATTTTGATAAGAGGAATCCATGTCGTCCAAACACTTGAGACAAAAAAAGTGAGAAGAGAAAAGCAGAGAGAGTTAGCTTTAGGAGCCAGAAAAGGAGATTTCAAAACATGCTTAGGAAATTGCGTGGTTACTACTAACCCAACCTAACCTAATTCTACTTTCTCTCTCTCTTAGTTTATGTCTATATTTAGCGTTTGAATTTATGTTCAGGGTGCAATCTCAACCCCACAATATTCTTCCTTCTTTTCCTCTTCTCACTATTATTAGCCACACCTTAATCTTCAAACACTAGTTTTATGCCAATTCAGTAGGTTTTTTTTCTTGTGGGGCTTTCTAAACCTTTTGATTATGACCTACCATCTATCTCTATAGATCTCCCTCCCAAACCACAATATATACCTCATTCTCTTCTCCTCATTCACTTCACATTTCTCTCATCACTCTCTTCCTTTCTTTCTCCCACCAAATCCACCTTCTTACAACTCTACAAAAATATTTACTAGGGTTTAATTTTGTTGTTTTTCATTTTCAATTTGATGCATCTCATCATCATGCATACATGCATGACTATATGCCTGGCTCCCTGTATGCCATATACGAAGCTTATTGAAACATCAATAACCGTTGTGGATGGCGTACGGGAAGCCAAGCATATTCCATTTACATATACATGGAGGAGATCATCAATAATAACATCAATATTTCATCTATATTTTCATTTTTTTTTTCAATTGTTCAAATACTAACCAATCTTGATTGTAGCAAGCAAGAGAGTACTCACAGCATTGTCATTTTCAAAGCTAGAGAACAAAGGTATTTCTCTTTGATTTGTTGTGTTGCATGATATTCGATTTGCAGAGAGCGTTAACATAGGGAACATGCATATGATTTTTTTTCTCTATTTATTTAATTTAATTATTTATTTATTTGATTTGGTCTAATAGTAATGATTTCTCTACAGTTGTAAGGAGGCACGAGAAAGGCACAAGATGAGGAAGTTACGGAAAAAGAACTGTTGGTGACAGTTAATCAATTACTGCTACCATGGAAGTTATGAATGTTATTATTATTACTTGTTTCACTGTCTATCTCATGGACATTTCATATGACCTTCTTGTTTTACCAACAATGCCCTAAAGAAAACCAAGATACTGTTTCTTCTCAGATGTTACTGTTCTTAATTTTCATTTATGATGGTTGATTTGAAAGAAAATATTTTTTTTCTAATACTAAATACAAATTTTATTTTTAAAATACAACAAGTATAAGAATTTTGATTAATTGTATGTGTAATATTGTTTTCTACTGTTAGTGCACTATCTTTAACTTCTTTTTGATTTAGGGTTTTTTTTTTCATGACAGTACAATTTACTTGTGAAATAAATAATCTAGGTCATATTTTTTTTAGATAAATCTCAATAATTTACTGATTAAGTTAGTTTTTAGGTTCTAAATTTTGGACTAAGTTCTTAAATTTATTTGGTGTTTCTTAACTTAATAGCAACCAAGCTAATTATGTAAAAACACAACTTTTTCTACTTCCTCAAAGGTCGTCTGTAAGTATGTTCAGAACTAGTCCTGCAATAGGGGAATCAAGGTTTTTATTGACAGAATGTACTGTAATTTTATGGGCTACATTTATTTAAGTAGTTTAGAAGTGAAACTCACATAATAGTGAAATTGAGTTCGAACTCTGACTCTTGCATTTGTCTTTGTTGATATCAATTGAGTTGTATTTTTAGGGTTTGGTTGGCGCTTACTTATTTCTCATTAAAATTTAATTATTTGATAGACACAAACATGTTTTACAATAGAATATTTTGACATAATTTGATTATCTCGTTTGGCTGGGCCGGTAGCATATAAATTCTTGGTCTTGAACACTAAAAATGTGAAAAAAATACACAAGTTACAACTAGGGTTTATTGTAAATGCAGTTCCAAACACACCAATAGTATGATGAGACATAGTTGTTGTTTGTTGTATAACAACTTTAAGGTAAAAGGAAAAACTAGCAAGTACTAAAATGAAGTAACATATGGTACCATAAAATATCGACAAACTTTGTTTCATAGCACATATATTCTCATTACTTTTGATGTACCAAGAAGTACTATAGTCATTACTAAGAATTAGTGAGAGATATGATATTATCATTATACTTTTAATTAAAATGTTAAGTAGCAGTGTTGTTTTAAGAATAGTTTTGATTTGTCGTTTTGAATGAATATAGTTTTGAGTATGAAGATAGGTAGTAGTATTATAGGTCTCTTTTATTGAGTTACTGAAAGCAGGGTGGCTAAGTGTTGTGTGATAGAAACAGAAACAGAAACACAAACACACACGCATGTGTGAGAAGGGACAGGGTTTGAAATGAAAAAAAGAAAGAAAAAAAAGATCATGGGAAAAGCAAAAGCATGATTGTATGTAGCAGAAGGAGGATTATGATGATGATGATGATGATAATGAAGATGGCCCAGTGAAGGGGAATCTCATTGATATGCATAAAAAGGAATTGGACCACTTTATTTTTCTCTCTCTATTTTCAATTGGTTTTCAGGGAATATCGTATACGGTCAAACCAGCTAAAAAAGCTTACACAAGGACATTATGCCCTTCACCCTTTTCCTTTTCATGGACCACCCCCATTCCAATTCAAATTTCTAATCTTATTACTAGTAGTATTATATTTCTTCCTATCAATCAAAACATAATGTAACCCTATCTCAACCTTTTAAATAACCCTTGCACTAGGTGCTATAAATACTAATTGTCTCCGTTTTTTAATAATAAAAATCATGAATAACAATTTCGTTTGTGTTTTTTTTAAACCTTGCCAAATTATGACCTTAAAAGAGACAACAATTTCAAAGACTTGGGTAGGTCAAAATATAATAAAATAAAAACGAGGGAAAACTTAGGTATGTAGCAAAACATTTCTGTGAAAGCAAGCAATGTGTTGTTAAGGCAACTGATGATGCTTTCGGCTGATGCAGAGTTATAACCTGCAGTTACATTACCTAAGAGAAAGAAAAGATGTGTGAGAGAGAATAAAATAAGTTAATGTAATATTCAATCATATGATATGTAATGTGTTTGATGCTTCTGCTTGCCAGATTAATTGTACTCTTCAACTCTGTCAAAGTAGATTCTATACTATTCCTGTCCAACTTTATGAATGCCTTTTTTATTTTTATTTTTATATAATAAAGATGAATCTGTATTTCACTTTCCATTATTCTTCTCAGTTTCTTTTTTTTCCTTTATTGATATGCACTATAGTATAGTTTTTTCCTTTAATTAATTTTACTTTCATATTTTCTATACCACTTTTGAGTCATTAGTTAAAAATATTGTAGAAGCATTCTGCAGATAGGTTGAAGAAAAAAGATTCTGCAGATAGATTGGTGTTTTCATGTGTACATGAAGAAAAATGATTCTGCAAATTTTTGGACTAGCTAGAAAAACTATTTTTAATTATGCTATAAATAACTCTCCAGATATTGCTAATTTTGTAAGATTCTTCACTGCTATCTGAAAAATTGCAGTGTCCTCCTGTCTAGTGTAAGAAAGAGTGTAGTATCATTTTAATTTTTTTCTCAGCAAAAGAAAATTAAATACTAGTATACTACACTATTAGTTTGAGAATCTTTATAGCAATTTAAATTATAAAGACAGTTTCACAACCTATGAACATTATGCTAATTTGTGCTCAAAGAAGGAGTTAAGAAATTCAAAGATATTAATAAAACAGAATTTTTTATATAGAAAAAAACAAACTTTAAGTTTCTTACTAACAACTTATAGATTAGTCACAAGTTAAGATTTTCCAATTTTTAAATTATAAGCTAATAAAATGATAATTTCATAATATGATCAGATAGGATAATGAGAATGATGGAGTGAACATTAAGTTAAGACTTGAACAAACTTGATAACAGTAGCTCATAATCATTATTTTTGGGTAGGTCTTCTCTAGTCCAAAATTTTCAAGAAGAAAAAGTCCATAAAGCCAATCATGCAAGCACGGGTGAAAATTGAAACTTTTTATTAAGCTCAATTCGGAGATACATATTCGAAAAAAGTTATGGACAACTTCAAAGATGTATCTATGGAAAAACTTGCGATTTACAATATCCATGATAGATCCATTTTCTTCCCTAACATAACCAAAGTTCTTCGTTGCATGTTTTAATAGACTATCAATTTAGTTTACACTGCAACATAATATCCCTAAAACAAATAGTTAACGCATCCTAAAAAACTAACAAAAATTCAAAACATAAAAAGAAAAGAAAATTTGAAAAAACTTACTAAAATGGAACTAATTTATGAGAAAGAGTTATTTCGATGTTATGGGAGAATGGAAATGAGGAGAAAGAGTTTCTTTGATGCTTCAATAAAATGCTTCAAATCTACAATGTAATGGTTGAGAGTGAGAGATGTCAAATGTTCTTTTTTTGTGTGGAGAAAATAAAGAATGAGGAGGGAAGAATTTTGGCGTGGGTTATGAAAGAAAAATGTTTGGAGATGTATTTTCGAACCACTAACATGTTTTTGAATAAATAGTATGTTTGAAGACACATCTTCGGACGAACTTTTTCACATACAAAGATGCATCTCCAAAATAATTTTTTACATAATAAAATCGTCAAATACGTTCAGAAATACATCTCATGATGTTGAAAACAAAATAAATTTTTAATGATGGTGTGAGAAAACTATAAAGTTGGAATGAACATTTTCATAAAAGAAATACAAAGTCAACCAATATAAAACTTAGAATTGTTTTAGTTTATAAACTCAAAATTATTTTAATTTTTTGACGTTTTTGTAAACTTAAAAAAAAAGTTTGTGTTCTTTAAGCAAGAATAAAGACTATGATGTAAAAGTTTATATATATATATATATATATATATATATATATATATATATATATATATATATATATATATATATATATATATATATATATATATATATATATATATATATATATATATATATATATATATATAAAAACTAATAAACTGATGGTTTTATACTAATATGATCAAGTATGATAATGATAATGATGGAGTAAAATTGAAGTTAAGACTTGAAAAAACTTGGTCAAAATAGCTCATAATCATGATTTTTGGGTAATTCTTATCTAATCCAAAATTTCAAGAAGAAAAAGCCCACAAAGCAATCTAAGGTGTAAATTGAAATTTTTGCACAAGTTGTACTATTTTGTCTAATCTTGTGCAAATATGGAGTTTTGTCTTAGTACTTGTTTTGAGATCCATATCACAACTTTGTATATTGTTGAAGCACAAGGAAGATAAAAGGTAAAATAAATATTTACTGATAGCTTCAAAAATAAGGATTTACAATGAATTACAATAATCTACTCCACTAGGTTATTTATACACACAAATTAAATCTAAAATATATCTTCTACAAAGATATAAGAAGATCTAAGATTTATATCTTCTAACAAAGATATAAACAATCTAAAAGATATTCCTAAATATAAACTAATATCTAATTAAATCTAAAATAATTCTAACACCATCCCTTAATTTATATTTACCCAAAACTGACAACACCAATTCCATCCCTTAAACCAAGAAATTGATCAGTTTTGATAGCCTTTGTTAGAACATCTGTCAGCTGCTTCTGAGTGCTACAATGCACAACCTCTATTATTCCATTCTGAACTTGATTCCTCAGAAAATGATACTTGGTCTCAATATACTTGCTTCTCCCATGCAACACTAGATTCTTGGCAAAATTGATTGCTGACTTGTTATCAATCATCAGCTTCAGAGGTTTATTCACCCCAATCTTCAGATCTTTCAGCAAGTTTAGAATCCATACAGCTTGACATGCAGTCAGAGCACCTGCAATATATTCAGCTTCATAGGTTGACAGAGCAACAACAGGTTGCTTCTTGGAACACCAAGAAATAGGACCTCCCAGAAATTTGAATAAGTACCCAGAAGTACTTCTTCTCTCAACTCTATCTCCGCACCAATCAGAATCAAAATAACTCAGAAGTTCTAATTCGATCTTTCTTCCAGACGGAAATAACACTCCATATTTCAGAGTTCCCTTCACATACCTCAGAATCCTGACTGCAACTTGGTAATGAGACCACTTTGGTTTACTCATAAATCAGCTAACCATTCCAACTGCGTAACAAATATCAGGTCTGGTATTACACAAATACCTTAGAGAACCAACTATCTGTTTGAAGGTTGTAGCATCCACATCCTCTCTATCAGAATCTGAATCCAACTTCTGATTCGTATCAGCGGGTGTGATAAAAACCTTGCAATTTTCTAGCTCAAATCTCTTCAGAAGTTCTAGTTCATACTTCATCTGATGTAAAATGATTCATTTTTCAAAGTATATAAATTCCATCACTAGAAAGAAACTCATTTTCCAAGATCTGTCATCTCAAACGCATTCATCAGAACTTTCTTGAACTCATCTATCTCTTGTTCAGAACTTCCTGTGAGTAATATGTCATCAACATACAAACAGACCAGAATCATATTACCTTCTGAAGTATGCTGAACATAAACACCATACTCCATCTCACACTTCTGAAACCCTTATTCCTTGAAAAACGAATCAATCTTTAAGTTCCAAGCTCTGGGCGCCTGCTTCAATCCATACAATGCTTTGTGTAATTTGAACACCATCCCTTCCCGATTCTTTTTCTCAAATCCAGGAGGTTCTGAAACGTACACCTCTTCTTGTAATAGACCATTCAGAAATATAGATTTTACATCTAAATGCATCAGAGGCCAATTCTTGTTAGCAGCTATTGCAATCACTAGTCTGATTGTTTCATATCTCGCTACAGGTGCAAACACTTCAAAGTAATCCAGCCCAGGCTTCTGTAGGAAGCCTCTTGCTACTAATCTCGCTTTGTGTTTTCCAATTGATCCATCTGGCTTTAGCTTCTGCTTGAAAACCCATTTGACGCTGATGGCTTTCTTGCCTTTTGGAAGTTCTGTCAGCTTCCAAGTCTTGTTTCTCTCTATAGCATCAAGTTCTTCTTTCATGGCCTGTAACCAAACTTGGTGCTTAAGAGCCTCTTTCATACTCACGGGTTCAGAGTCTACTAACATTGCACACTGAATAACTTCTCCTTCAGAGTTTACTTCAGTGTCTAGCAACATGTCAAACTCTGCAAATCTTCTTGGGATGCTTCTGACTCTTTGTTGCCTTTGAACTGGACCTTCAGAACTTTGGACACCAGAACTTTCCCCTTCAGAAGCACTTGCTTCAGCAATTGGACTTTCTCTAGAACTTTCCCCTTCATAAGCACTTGCTTCAAAAATTGGACTTTCTCCAGAACCTTGACTGTCTTCAGAGTCTGAATCACCATCGGAGTCAGAGTCAGAATCATCTTCTCCTTCTGTATCTTCTTCAGAGTCAGAGTCTTTACTAGCTTCAGAAACATGTATTTCTGACCTTTCTTCAGAAGTTCTGTCATTAGAGTCAGGACGATACTTTTCCCAATTCCAAACTTCTGATTCCTCTACAATGACGTCTCTGCTAAACTCAACTTTGTTAGTTTCTGGACAATAAAATTTGTACGAACCTGTACTGTGATACCCCACCAGCAACATCACTTTACTTCTATCATCCAGCTTTTGTCTTCTGGCTTCTGGGACATGTTTGTAACATACATAACCAAATACCTTCAGATGGCTAACACTTTGCTTATCTCTAGTCCACTTCTGAATGAGAACTATTTCCTTTAATTTCTTTGTTGGACATCTGTTGAGCACATAACATGCAGTTGCAACAGCTTCTCCCCACAGAGTATGAGGAAGCTTCTTCTCTTTCAGCATGGTTCTCACCATATCTAGCAAAGTATGATTTCTTCTTTCAGCAACACCATTATGTTGAGGAGTATATGGAGCAGTAACCTCATGCTCAATTCCATTCTCCTCATAGAAACTTCTGAATTTTATGGAGTTATACTCACCACCACCATCAGTTCTAAGAATTTTCAGAGTCTGGCCACTCTGATTCTCAGCCTTCAGTCTGAATTTTTTGAGTTCAGCAAACACCTCATGTTTGAACTTTATGAGAGATACCCATGTAATTCTGGTGAACTCATCAACAAATGACACAAAATATTTATTCCCTCCAGTCGATGCTACTGGAAACGGACCGCACACATCAGAATGTACTACTCCCAAGGCATGTTTTGCTCTTGGAGCTACTTCTG